TTCTTTTTTTTGTCAACAAAGATAAATTTGTCACATATGTAAAAGTGCCACTTTTTATTGTTAAGCCGCATATGGGTGTGTTGGGTATTGTTTCTGCTGTAAATGAGGATCCACTCTCGTGGAGGCAAATGTTTTTTACGCATCTGATTTAAGTAGGAGGTTTTATGTGAAATGTGGGTTGGAAGAGTAAAAATTATGACCACAAATGGGATACATTATTTAATAATAATGATATAATATAGATACATGTAGATTTTTTACATACAGGGGTACTTTCCATTTGTATCTTTATAATATATATGTGTGACTAGTACAACTCAAGAGACTAAGCCGCACACTACCAAGTTCTCTTACTCTCTTCCTTTCTCCATCCACCGTCAAAACCGTAGATGATGAACCAGTGATAGTTTATACTTGAAAAGGATTCAATGACCATATGGATCAAAATCTACAAGCCCTAAGCTAAAGAACTTCCTGCCCTTTCTATTTTAAGGGTCAGTGGGGGACTAACTACAAAGATTGAATTAGATAGCAATTTCAGAGATCAGAGAATACAAATATGGTGAACTTGATCAAATAAGCAGGGACATACTAAAAAAGAACTTCTAAAAGTAATAATGCTTAGCAGAGAGTCTTAGAGACCAAGTGAAAGAAACTAAGCCTGAAAATCAGGAACTAAAATGAGTTTAAAAAAAAATTTCATATTCATCTTAAGAGATAACACCAATAGAGACTGCAAGATTTGAGGATTTTTATCAGAGATCCTCCCTCTCTCCCCCCCCCCCACACACACAGACACACATTTTGGGAGCAAAGACAAGAAGATAAGAATGCAAGACAGCCTTTAGTCTGATATGGCCCTTCATAATAAAAGCTTTAGTAGCATATAAAATTGATGAACACAAAAAGGGGAAAACAAAAAGTCTTCCCATGATCCTCTCTTTCAATTAACTGCAACACGGCTGAAAATACACCATGTGCCCTCGGCACATACTAAAACCAAAAAAACAAGCACCCAAATGGAGTAAAAAAAAATTTCAAAAAAAGAAATTCTAAAACACAATTATCACAAATAAATTTTCATCATTTAAAAAAAAGGAATTCGGATAGTTATTTAAATAGTTATTTTATAATTTTAAAAATAAAAAATAAAAAAATTTATTACAAATGAACACGAACTTTGAAAGTACGGACAGCAGACTTGATGACGATTGGCAATTATTCCAGAAAAACCCTTTAATACAGGTTCTTTGGCATTTATTGTAGTACGATGCTCCCGCATCGTCTATAGCCAATGACTTTTTCCACGATCAAATGACAATATGGCGATCAAATTAAAAAGGGTTAAAATGTAGAATCACATATGCACCTAAAAAACCTATTGGAAACGTTGTTCTAATGTTGAGAAAGGCTTTAATCAACGATCTCCACGTCCATATCAATGAATATGAAAAAAAAAAAGTTTTTGTACCTCGAAAATAGTGTATTTTACAACACATTATCTAGACCGTCCATTTTAAAAACTTTCATATATTTATAGATCTACTTGATTTTAACCAATTTTGGATTTTAAAATTTTCTAATTATGTATGAAAATAGATTTTAAGATAATACTAATAATTTTTTACAACAAAATTACATGTTACGATAAAAGTTTAAGGTGCGCCTTAATTGGATTGTTTAAGGTTGCAACCTTATAGAAACATCACCTTTAATTGTTAATATTTCTCAATTATAAATTTCATTTTATAGTCACTTAGAATTATCAATCAAAATTTTAAAAATGTGAGTTTTTACAGTTATACTCATATAACAAAATTATTCTAATTATGAATTAAATTTTTTATTGACTTTTTGCATAAATTTCTAGCCTTTATAACAAATTGATAAACAAATGAATGTGGAATTTATCTAAATTGAATATTTTTTATTATACAATTAAAATTCTTTCATAATGTGTTGCTTTTTAAGAAATAATGAAATTAGAAATATGCTTTTTTAAATGGGTGCGGTTTCATAATTAGAATAATTTTGTTACATGCGTATAACTGTAAAAACTCACATTTTTTACATTTTGATTGATAATTCTAAGTGACTATAAAATGAAATTTCTAATTGAGAAATATTAACAA